CAGTCACCCTGTGCCTACACACTTTGTGCTGTCGACATGGTCAGCAGTAACACCTCATTACTCCCAGAGGGAATTCTTCTTCGAAGCAGATTGATTGACTGGTTTGCATTGGGACTCCTGATTTCCTCCAGCCTATTCCAGCTTGGTATCTAGAGTCTAGGAAGTTTGGGATTCTCTCAGTTAATCACTTTTGCTGAACAGGTATTTTCTTTGGACTTTAGGGATGGAGCTGACAACACATGGGGTAGCCTTGAGAGCTGCATCTCAGTCCGTCTGGGTCCCCTTCCCATGTGCTGGGCAGGGAGTGGGAACGTCCCCACATTCCATGCAGACAGAAGAAACTTTGTCTCTCCTCCAGCTGTGAGCCATAGCTGGTGCTGCCCAGTAGTCAAGAGTGCAGGACAGGCTCTTCCTGCCTCATAAAAAACTCAGACGTGCTCAGCAGAGGTTACAGGAATATCAGAGATAGATGCAGATTTTAAAAAAAAATCCATTAGGCCTGGTTTTAGAAAGCAGGAACCCTTCCCCTGCTGTGTGTTGATGTGGCTGCAATTGAAATAGATCTAGTTGCTGGGAAACAGGACATAGTCTCTGATTAGATTCTCCATACAGGTGAAAAGTCCTTAGAAATCCTTGAGCACAGGTTTATCATGCTGATCTTACAAACTGTGAGGGTGAGAATAGACAGCTTGGTGTGTCAGTGCAGAACTTTAGCAGAAGCCTTTTTACAGTGGCTTGAGAAAGCCAGCTTCTGTCTGCCAGGACATCAGTTTGTATCTGATCTTGAAGTTGCATAATTCTGGGAATCATAATTCTCATTTCAGCAGTTCCCTCTGAAATGCCTCTTCCTCACACACACACTCTCCCCTGCTTAGTCTCTTCTTTCTCTTTTTCAGGCCAAACTCCCACGGGGGATCCACCAGGTGAGACCTCACCTGCAGAACATAGACAATGTGCCTTTGCTGGTGCCCCTCTTCACAGACTGCACCCCGGAGAGTAAGTGACACAGAGCCTGGGTCTGTCCTACTACTGCCCATGAACACCTTCCCCATCCATTTCCTCTGGCTCATCTGGGTGTGGACATGGGTGAAGGGAAGGGGATACAGTCCGGAAATCCAGAAGGGCATTTTGATATCAATGACCCTCTATTGCTACCTGTGGGAAGTCAGGTGTTAACTTTGTTTTAATGCAACTGTTCCCTAGCTACAGAATTGGGTTAAGAACCACTCCTTTCAATTTGCATCCCTAAGAGACACAGAAGCAAACATCCAAAATGCTACTGCTTTTTTTTATTAAATAAGCATTATCAGTGTGCTAGGAGACTTTGATCTCTGCTCGCAACCCTCGCTGCCTTATATAACTTGGAAATCACTTCCCAGAAGTGTTTTCCTCTGGCAGTTGCTGTTAACGCCTTCTGCTGCTTTGCAGAGTTTTTGATTGCAGAGACCAGAAAGGACAAAATTTCTTTATCTCTCTGAGAGATACAGTTTTATCTAAGAAAGGGGTTGAGCACGCAGCTGGCTAATACCTGTCCAGTCTACAGTAAAAGTGCCAAGCACCATTATAATTCAGCATTTTAGGTACCTCTGGGCACAGTTTACAGTGCCAGTGAGAACCAGTTACAGCCCAGTCTGCCTAGGCATTCAATGCCCAGTAGATTTCCTTTCTTTTTGACAGAAGTGGCAGTTCCTCATGTCATCTAACCCCTCACTGTGCTGCAGATCTGGGTACACCAGTCATTTAGATAAGTTGTTTACACAGGAATCTGCAGAGGGCTGGTTTGGTGTTGGTTTTTTTTTTTTTTTGCCTAGAGCATTCTAGAAAATTCATATACACACAGAGCACTGTGCACAGAGCTACAGAAGAAAAATCGGATCAAACACCAGCTTTGATTTAGAGGCCCCAGGAGGATGTTGATAAAAAGACTGATGAAGGCTAGAGGTAGTGGTGGGAGTGCAGGAACAGGGACTGGCTCGGAGTATGGCTAAGCTGCTTTTAGAGCTGTTTGTTATATTCCCTCTGTTCCTTTAGACTTCAAACAGTAGTGATGTGGTGCTGAGCAGGATGTAAAACTTGTGTATTTACTTTAGGTTTGAATTATTTAGGTTTATTTAATTTCTGCTGTTTTCTAACAAGACCATTTGATGCTGAAGCCATCTGTATTATATACCCAGGCTATACCTACAGCTCTGGTCTGAAAGAGATGTGCTAGAGATGCAAATCTCTGGGTCACAGTTCTGTGAAGTGCAGCTCAATTCCTGCAGGAGTTAGGTATACAGGGCACTTGGACTGCAATTAATTAGCTATCTGATTGTGTACTTTGACTTTGTATCTCACTGTACGTGGCTGATGAATATCAGTTGGGGTAATTTTAAAACATCTGACTGCTTGTTATCCAGACTGGAAGGGGTGTGTGAAACACTGCATCTTTGTGTGCATAATGAGCTAACACACTGTGTTTCTTCTGTCCCTTTGCAGCCATGTGTGAGATGATCAAGATCATGCAAGAATACGGGGAGGTGACTTGCTGTCTGGGAAGCTCTGCCAACTTGCGGAACAGCTGCCTCTTCTTGCAGAGTGATATCAGGTGGGGCAGGATCCAGACTCCTCCAGCTGCCTTTGCCTTGAGCTTAGTGAGTGCCCAGCCATAGGTCGCACCAGACCTGTGGATTGTGCAGGGTGATGCTCACAAGTGCTCTGTCCATTATTAGCTGCATCTGTCTCCATAAGGGACATTTGGGTGGTACTAGATAGGATGATTACCTAGATCCCTTGACACACAGAGATGTTTTTCTCCATCGTTGAAAGAAAGCTGTTACTCTTGCATGCTGAACTATTGTGCACCCACTGGCGCTACAGATGCTTCTCATTGGGTAAAAGAGTGGAAATGCCCTTCTGGATCAACAAATTTATTGACCTTGAGCCACAAACCCAAGTATGTTTATTATTTCTCTGGGAATAACTGAAAGTCTAGGTGGATTGATCTTAAATTCACATCACAGCTCAGGACTTCTCTACCAGCAAGGTAGATAGACCTGACACAGCACAGCATGACTTTAGAAGCTGGACTGCAATGAAACTTAGTTTCTCCTCCGGGATGAGGACTTTCACTAATGCTCTTGTGTTGTCCTTGCAGTATAGCACTGGACCCACTCTACCCATCTCGCTGCTCCTGGGAGACTTTTGGCTATGCCACCAGCACCACCATGACTCATGTCTCTGATGAGCTCACTCCACTGCAGCTCTCAGGGCAACTCAACAGCCTGCCTTGCTCCATGTCCTTCCGCCAAGAAGAGAGTACCAGCATCATCAGGCTTATAGAGCAGGTAAGCCAGGCATATCCCCTCTCCGGTACTCACCCCTCTGCCTGAAGCTCACAGAGCAAAGCCAGGAGCCGATGCGAGCATTCTTGTTGAATTGCCCACAGTAAGCTGCCAGTGTTAGCTTTGCTTCTGTCTCCTGTCCTTTGTTCAGGAAGCACAACAGAGGTACTCTTCTGCCTGGCCCTACTGGTCCAAGGTGTAGGGGGTGGTTTGGGAATGGTGCCTTGTGGCAGCAGAACTTGAATACTGTTCAACTGGATAAAGTATAAACTTTCAGACTTCCTTAGCCAGACAACAGTGCACTGCTAGGCAGAAGTGTTACCCCAGAAAAGCCAGGAGGTTTAGACAAACCTACCCCTTGGCTAAATTATGCCTTTCCTTCACAACCTCTACATTTAGGCAGGAGACCTTCCCCTTTTGCTTACAATGTGTCCAGATCCTCTCCCCTCCCACTTCCCCTGCAGGCCACATGTTCTGCCCCTGCCTGCCAACAATTGCTCTTGGCTGGTAACTGCTCCCATCACAGTGAGTGCTCTGAGGGCTTGTGCTTCCTTCCAGGCCAGGCATGCAACATATGGGATCCGCAAGTGTTTCCTCTTCCTGCTGCAGTGCCAGCTGACCTTGGTTGTCATTCAGGTGAGTCCTGGCCTGGCTGGGGACAGCATTTAGCTCAGGGGACAGGAGTGCTAGCACAGATAATGGGTGGCTGCAGTGGGGCACCCTTGCAAGAGAGGAAGGTGGCTTTCAGTCAGGTTTACACAGCATGTTTGGGGAAGTTACAGATAGAGATTATGTACATTGCGTACATTGCCCCTTCTCCCTGACCCTCCTACAGAGGTTTCTTTCCAACCCCTTTTTCCCCTGGAGAAAAGCATCCCCTGTGGCACCTGCCCCAGCAACCTGGAACATGTAGAGAGGCTGTGCAGTAGCAGCCTAGTTACCAGCTCATCCCAGAGTTTTTGGGGGGGATGGTGGCACCTTGGGTAATAATACTGGCCTAGCACTGCTCACACTCTTCACTCTGGATTGTTCTTGTCCAGTTCCTCTCCTGCCTGGTGCAGCTGCCCCCCATCCTCAGTACCACAGACATTGTGTGGCTCTCCTGTTTCTGCTACCCACTGCTCAGGTGAGTCTATCAGACAGGGTGGAATGTCCTGCCTCCCACCCACAGGATGCACAGACCAGTCCCCTAGCCTCACTGTGTCCATGTTAAAAGAAAGCTGACATCACCCACAGCATGCTAAGGCAGCTGCAAGGATTATTCCAAGCGCCTGTGTTCACAAGGGGCTTGGAAACACAGAGAGGAGCATTTGTGTGCTGCTGTGTTAGCCCTGCCTGCTGTCCAAGAGTTACTATTATCTTGTGGCTTGAACCTCCAGCTGAAGATCATCTTCCTGATACTGTTGCACTGGCTGGAGTGTGATGGAGAGCCTAGGGTGTCAGGCAGAGGCCAAGGTACCATGGGTGTTTTTTTCCTCATCACACATTTGGAGGTCACCTCTCTCCCTGTCTGCACCTGCCATGAATGACACCTTTTACAGCATATGCTTAAGGCAGTGGCCAGAGAGGTGCCAATGCTCCAAGCAGTCTGAAGAGGTTATATGGGTTCAAATGTTAGACACAGACAAAAAGAAAAAAGCAATAGTTCTGGTGCCTGAACTTGTTACTGAGAGACTAACTTACATTTCTCCAGCATCTCGCTCCTGGGCAAGCCTCCCCACAGCTCCATCATGACCATGGCAACAGGAAAAAACTTGACTTCCATTCCTAAGAAGGTGGGTGGCCCATCAGATTAAAATTGTTCACACAGTTTTCTACTTTGTCCCAGTGTTGATGCGTAGCTGAGGCCCTGTGCCTTCCCAGCTCCCTTGGTACATTGATCCATGGCATAAGCCATGCTATCCAGAAGCCTGACATGGACAAGAAGGGAATCCCTTAGTGCTGGCATGCCCACAGGGCAGATCCAAAGTGCAGCATCTCATCTGTACTGCAGCTTGTCTTTTGCAGCCACTGATTCCCTGATGGTTTATTTGGGGGAGGTTGGGCCAGTGACACACCCATGTCATCCTCCTACCTCTTCGTTATTCACAGACTCAGCATTACTTCCTGTTCTGCTTCCTGCTGAAATTCAGCCTGACCATCTGTTCCTGCCTCATCTGCTTTGGGTTCACACTGCATGAGTCCTGCAAAGAGGTGAACGATACCAGCCTCAATCTCACAGCCTGCTCCTCCATCATGCAGCACAGGTGAGGAACTGAGCCTAGCACACACACCCCTCACCCTGCAGGGCCTGTTGCTCTTGCCCTTCCCAGGTAGGACTGATTCCTGCCTAACAAGCCTCAGACTCTTGCATGATCCAGCTATAACAGCTATACAGAGGGTTGGGTGCTCTCCCTATAGCCTTGACAATTGCATTTTTGGGCCACTTAACTGTTGCCTCCTGATATTAGGACAGCCTGACTCCCAGCTCACACTTAGTTCTCTCAGCTATCAGGGGAGGACATGGCCCTGGTGGGAACCAGTCAGACAATAAGTGCCCACTGTTGACTTCTTTCCTGTGTCCTTTCATTTACTAGCAATACTAAGGAAGCTCCTGACTGGTTTGGGACATTCTCCAATGCTCTTCTTGTAGCCCAGAAGCTCACAGCTGGCCTGATTGTTTTACACACAGGTAAGTCCCTGTTCCCAGACACAGTCCCCTTCCCCACTCTGGGGGAAAACTTGCATCCTTTGCCTCTTTCTTTGTCCCCTATGCCAAGAGCACAGACTCCCTGGTAGAAGCAGACACTGCAGTAGTCTCTCAGCACAGGCATAAAGCCCCTTACCTTATTAAGCATTGCCCTAACAGATTAAAGGCAGCACCTTCGGAGCTGATTCTTCCTCTTACCAGCCTGGTGAAGTGCTAATTCTTTACCAGTCTGACCAGAAGAACAGCACCCTTCTTTGCCTTCCTGCAAATCAGCTAGCAGCGTCCTGCAGCTCTCAAAAAATATTGCATGCCTCAGAAGTCTTTATATGCCTGCTGCCATTTTGTGAAGCACCCCATTTCCTTCCCCCAAACAGCACTGGTGCAGCTGTGATTACCCTGGAGCTGGAAGCCTTCTTAAACCCTCTGGAGGGGTGGGGAGCCAGTCCCTGGCTGACCCTCATCACCTGCACACAATTGCCTGGCAGAGTAGGTCCAGCTGCTCTCTGATGACCTTAAAGGGTCTCTGCTCCCTTTCCACTATGTTGTGGTGCTGTGCCTTGATGTCAGGCAGAGAATTGCATGTTGAGATGTGTGGGGTGTCTAGGCTAACAGAAATGCTTTCTGATTTGAGAGGCAGCCCTGCTTTGGAGAGAGGTAGGATGCATTACTGTTTTATCTCCTTCAGGTCACCGAGGCTAGGCAGGGATGCCCTGCCTGGCAGGTACAAAATGCTGTTTTGAAGAGCCCAAGCAAAAGCTGTGCAAATGCTCTGTCCTGTGCAGACAGCTCTGGGTCTCTGGCTAAATATCTTTGGGCTGGAACTTTCCACTGGTGCAGGCCTGCAGTGACCCAGAGACAAGGGCACCCCCTCCTGCTCCCTAGTTCTGGTCCTTTGCCTGATCTGCTTTAGCATGCCAGGCTGCAAACCAACCTTGGCATCCCCACAGTGAGTAATCCTGTGCAGTACTACTACTGCATTTCCCCCAGCCCTGCATATTTGGGGACTTGGAGCTGCTGTGGGGAGTCTGGTCTGAAAGAACCTTGAGTGAAAGGTTGGTTTCAGGGATGTAAACCCCATATCTCTTTGGAGTAATAGCTGTTGATGTATATTGTAAAGTGTTGTATCTGCGTGTGATGCTAAATAACCCCCTTTTCCATCTGTCCCCATAGTGTTCATATCCATCACCCACGTCCATCGCACCAAGCCATTGTGGAAGAAGAGCCCGCTCTCCAACCGGTGGTGGACGCTCACTGTGGCTGTTGTGTGAGTATCCCCAGGCCTTGATGAGGCATTCCAGAATGCTGGAGGAAGGAGGGAAGGAAGGAAGACCTGCTCCAGCACCAGTTTGCTGGTGCTGAGAAAAATGATAGTACAAGGCAATTGTTCTCCGCTGCTGAATTGGTGAAGGGTCTCTGCTGTGAACTCAGGAGTGTTACATCTGGGCCTGAACCCTGATCTGCAGATCCTGGGAAGCTTGCTAGCTCTGCTGAGATTTGTTATGTCTGTTTATGTTCTTAGATTGCTGGGGCAAGTGGCACAGACTGTGCTGGACCTGAAACTCTGGGAAAACCTCAATTCTTCACTGACTTTTAACCACGTTTCCATCTCCCCGGTCTCATGGCTCCTGGGTTTTCTTTCCTTGATCCTTGTGGTTATCATCAATGAGATTGTCAAGCTGCATGAAATCAGGTATGGAGGTAGTAGGGAAGATGGGGAGAAAGGGCTGGAGCCTTACTGCAGCCTGGCCTTGAGCTGCAGAAAAATGGTGCACAGGGAACAGGGTGGGGAATAAAAAGGAAAAGATGATTGCATTGTGTAAATCACCTGGCTATTGTGTGCAAGCTCATGTTCCGCCTTTCAGAGAGGAAGTGCAGAGGAGGAAAGAGGGTCGGGGAATGGCAGTGGCAGTGATTGGGAGCAGGAAGGGAGACCAAAATTTCCTTATCTCAAACCAATGAGAGGGAGACAGCCAAGGTCTATGAAATACCAGTATGGAATTGGAGAGGGCTGTTCTCTCCATCTCGTCCCATGAGGACAGAGAGGCATTGAATCACAGTAGAGGAAATACGTCTTCACACAGTGCCTGGACTGTGGGACTCATTTTCACGGGAAGTGGCTGAAGCCAAGAATTAGTAGCAGGCAAAGTGACTGGCTGTTCTTCCTAGCACAGGGGGCAGCTGGAGCTGGGAGTTAACGCTAATGAGCATTGATTCAGGAAATGGGTTGGTGAGGAAAAGCAGCGGGAATTACAGGGAACCCTGATGGGGACAGAGGTGCTGTCTCTGTTCCTGGGAAGGATTTCTGGACCTTTGTCTGCTGTGTCTGTGGTGCTGGAGATGGGCCTTGGCTGGATGGGGTAGGACTGAGACTGTGAGGGTTGCTCTCTGGATTCAATTCCCCTCCCAGGGTACCATAAGGCCCAGGCCAGAGGCTTCCCGGCTTCTTGGGGCTGTGCAGCTCTGGAATCACAGTGGGGCAGCCTTGTTTGCTTTTCACCCCTCCACGTGCTGACTTTTTTTTTCTTCTGCCTTCTCCAGGGTCCGGGTCCGTTACCAAAAGAGGCAGAAGTTGCAGTTTGAAACAAAGCTGGGGATGAATTCGCCATTTTGAACGCTCCCAGCTCAAGTTCCCTGGAGCCAGGGCCACACAGCCGCATTCTGCACTGGGAGAGTGGCTGCACCAAAGGCTCAGGGAGTTTCTCCCTCACATGTGCAAACCAGACAGCCTCCTTGCAAAACTACATCAGCACCTTTCAGGGGGCCCCAGGCAGGGCACTGCTATCAGGATTCCCCCAGCAGGTATGCAGCCCCTCCCCAGCCTGCTAGGGTACTCCCAAGGGAGCCTGCAAGCTCTGGTGGCTGTTCAGGCTGCTCTTCTTTTATTTATTTATTACTAGAGGTTTTTGTTAGTATCGTGGTAATGCTGAAATGAAGTGACTCCTTCCCTCTGTGGGAGCAGATGGGTTTCCTTGACCTGGCAGGAGAATCTGGGGCCAGCAGGGTAGACATAGGGCTGCTGAAGCAAGAGATCTGTATTGAAACCCATTTTGGTTTTCCATCTCTGCGTGCTCTCCTGGATGATGTGTGTGTGCATGCCTGTGTGTGCCCTCACTCACCTCCCTGTCCCTGTGTCCTGGGGCAAAGGAGCCACCTCTCTTGCAGCTGCAGGAGTGCTGGGTGCCAGGTGGAGACTGGAGCTCTCATTCCCAAGGAGCAGGGTGCTGGGAAAGCCCCTGCGACTGCCAGGCTGTGCCAGGCCTGCCCTCTAGTGTTGTTGCTGTAGCCATATGCCAGCTGTTGAGTGCTTCAAGAGAAGAGGGATGAGACAGGACTTTGAGAAAAGCTGTCCACATTTGACCCTAGTGATCTGGTGTGGAGGGAGTCAGGAGGGCAGCTCTGTCTACATGGCTCAGCTTCCTCCAGCCCTGTTAAACCAGCTCTTATCTGCTTTAACAACGCCCAGGGAGGTTTATAACTGTCCTCATTTTTGTGATTCAAATTGCTGGTCTGCTTCAGTAAAATGCCTGCTTGAGAGGGACATAGCTAGAGATAAAACCTGAAACCTGCCTATCCTGCTGTGGGGAGAAAGAGAGAGAAGGACGTCTTTCTAGGCAGGATATCTGTATCTTGCAGTTGTGACTAACATGGAGCTGGTGCACGGCTCCTTTCCCAGTCCTAGGATTGTGCTGCATCTGCTACTTGCGCTCCAAGGCACAAGGAACCTCCTCATCGTGTCTTTCTGTGATAGTGTTTGGAAGTCTCTCCCCTCCATGCTGCTGCCCTCACATCTGTTCCCTGCTTTTCTGGAGGTCTCTTCTTCATTTAACTGGGGGAACCGGCCTTGAGGCCTGCTGCAAACCATGATTTGCCCCAATGCAGCACATGTGCTCTTGAGCTCTGAACAGACCCCAGCTGTACTGGGAACACTGGTGCCGTTGTGGGCTGACAGTCAAGGGCCACACAGCAGCGCACAGGGTTGGCTACTGGAATATTTGCAGCTCATGGAGCTATTGATTCCCTTCCTATTTCTAAAAACTGGCTAAAGCTGGTAAATCCTGGCACTATTCTTGCTCCCACTGTTAACACTACAATGTACCTGAGACTAAAAAAATGGCTGCTGGTCCTTCCCTGGCAGGCAGGGAGCTGGCTGGGAACCCCCAAGCTCTGCCCTGCTGCTCCACCTTGTCTTCCTTACATTTCAGCATAACCACAGAGCATGCACACTACTGCATGTTTCTAAGCAATAGCCTTCTCCCTGCTGTGGGTCTGGAAGGAGAGCAAAGTACAGCCAGCCTCTGAGCTCTGGGGACAGCCAGAGGGTGCTGGAGGGGGACAGCTGGGGGTGTTGAGAGGCCTCGACCCTGTTCCTAAAGCTGGAGAGTGGATGTTTAAGATTCCATGCTGCTGGCAGGGTTGCATAGGATAGGGAGCCAGCAGCTCACTGGGGAAACACAGGGCTGCTCTCCTGCAATGCAGCATTACCAGGCCACTCCTGCTTGCAGAGTGGGTCTGCTCACCTTTGCCAGTGAGGCTGAACTCTGCCTTCACTCCTCTTGGGCCTGCAGAGCTGCCTGGCTCAGGGAGAATAAAACCTGCATCTTTCTCAGTCTCACTTAAGTCACTAAATGTCAGCTCCAAATCTGTTACCCCTGGTACCTGAGAAATCAGCTTTTCTTTCTGATGCCAGGGTCTGCTAGCAGGTGGGATACGGTCTCCTCTGTGGCCGAGCTGAGCGGGAGTAAGAGCCAGCACCAAGCTGTTCACTGCTATTCCTGCAGAGCAACCTTCCCCCCCCCAAAGACCTTAGTTCTTGCCCCATGCCACTAACTGTTGTAGGTGATAAAAGGCAGCAGATACCGGGGCTTCCTGCTGGCCACACCTTCCTCTGGAGGAGGCACCTCCAAGGTTTCCTTCTCTGGGTGATCACAAATGTTTATTCTCCTGCACCCTCCCTCCCCTGCTAGCCTTGGAGGGAGCCAAGGCATATGAATGGGGCCTTTTGGGTGGTCTCGCCAATGCCATCCTTCCCTTGGCCACTGAGGTACCCAAGGGTCAGGGTGCACGGCTTCAGAAATTTCCTACATCAAGATGTTTTTAAATGGTGTATATTTTATATTAAATTTTTTGGGATGTATGTAAAAATACTTGATTTGTATTAAAACTTGTAAATTGTGTAAAAAAAAAAAAAAAAAAAAAACAAACCCCAAAACCAAAAAAACCCAGAACACCAAACCAACCCAGCCCCACATGCATCCAGTGTATGAATGGTAATAAATGAGTGTCTTGGATAGCACACACAGTGAGAGTGGGAGGGAGTTTGAACCCAGTGAAGCAAGGAGATAAAAATGTGTATGGCTGCTTGGGTCATAGGATCTGAGTTACCTGGCTCACCTGTTGTAGGGATACAGCCCGAGAGCTTGATGCTCCTGGGACACAATCCTGGCACTTTTTCCCACTTCCTGCTCAGCTTTGGGCAAATCTATCCATCTCTGCATGCCTCTTCCTACAGAGTAACAGTCAGATTACCTCATGGTCTCCTGGATCCCAGGCACGGTTTGAAGCCCTCTGGATGAAAGGGCAGGGGCGAACTGGAACAGGCACTGCGAGCACTGGAGAAAAGCACTGTGGCAAGACCAAGAGGCCTGGCCTTCTTGTTCTGAGCAAAGCAGGACCTGGTGTCACTGTGGCCGCACTTTGATCATGAAGGAGGATGGAGGAGCGCTTTGCCTCGCAGGCGGGGGTAGCCGTGGCTTCAGCTGTTGCCAAAGCTACACAGTGGGGCACTGAAGGCAGTGTTGGTCCCCAGCGCTCTCACCACACGTTACTGTCATGGTGGTAAGACTCAAACTGAACATTAACGTCGCTGGAGGCGACAGCGGGACTCTTACCAGAGGAGATTATCCGAGGAAACCCAGATCTTAAGCACTCAAGGGGCAGAATAAAGCTGATCCTCAAACTTCAAACAGAGCAGGAGACAAGCTTGTGCGATTTGACACGAAGGAGACAACTAGGCAAAACTATCAAAAGGGTAAAATATGCCCCACTGTTTAATAGAATTTAGTCTTAATGGATGTTAGTGGAAAACAAAACACATGATTAACACAAACAGAGCAGATGGTTTAAAATCTGTTGTCAGTCTGGTGATTACATGGGCTATTTTTTCCCCTCACTGTCTTGCTGCACAGAGCAGGTGCAGCCGGGGTCAGTTAGTCCCAGTTGCAGTGTACATAACTTACACACCATACAGTAGCTTCAAAATAGAGATCTTGAGCTTAAAAAATAGGCATTCTTCTGCAAAATCAAATGTTTAATTCCCTTATTGACGATGAGAGCAGCGTGGTGCTGCCCTCAGGTGGCTCAGACAGCGACAGCTCCACCCCAGTGTCCTCTTATCCCTGACCCTAGAGTACAAGACTTGCAGTTCTGGTTAGTAAATATATATAATAAATCACATTTAAAATATATACATTGGCCTTTAAAAAAACATTTACAGTTTATCAACACTGGAAAAAAAATAACTGGGCTTGTCCCAGGTTGACTCGTGAGAGTAAAAATCAGTTTTAAAAGGTTTCTACAAACCTTTTGATAAAGTGCCACTGGTTGGAGCTATTTAAAAACAATCGGGTCCACGATGTAGCACTTGCCTGTCAGACACGGTCATTTAAATACACTCAATGTGATGTATAAATCAGAGCAACCAACTAGCCAGGGGAGAAGTTGTCTTAACTGCCTCAAACTGACCTCAAGTCCCAGCCAACAATATTTTTTTTCAGGGCTTTTCTGTCTTTGCTTTTCAGCCTAGAAGCCAGGCAGGCACCTCCTGCCCGCCCATCCCGTGGCGCAACTGCCGCTCGTGAGTGGAGGCCCTCAGGAACGTCCAGGCGGGCTCTGCTCGCAGGGGCTGCTCCCCTTTCCGTGCAAGGGGACAAGGGGGTGCAAACAGTCCAGTTCAGTCGCAAACTCCTGAAAGGATTGGGAAGCAACTGCCTCTTCAGCCACCTTCTCCCTTTCCAGTTTGGTTTTGCATTGGTGATTTTTTTAAAAAGGGGGGATATGTGGATTTTTTTTTTTCCCTTTGTTTGGAATTTTTGTAGCAAATGGCACTTTAGTACAATCTTAGGTTCCCTTCTGGTCCTCTCATGCTTTCATTTGCTTGGCATGCCGAGCGCAAGCCAAGTTCGGGGCTCTTGGACATATTTAGACATGCACTACTAAACAGATCCTGCTAGAGAAATCTGTCTTCAAGCTATGCAGCCGTTCCTACTGCTTGGATGCAATGAGCTATCGCTGCTGTTCCCCTGCTGCAGCCACGGGTCTGTGACCGCATCCAGCCTGTATGCACAGTAGCTGTTACAGAGCTGAATTCACCCAGTGCACGCGGGGTCACCTCTCCCGCTGGGTTTTAGTGCTGCAAGGAAGCATCTCACAGAGTCCCAAACGCTGCTACTGTTTAACAACGCTCAGAGAGGAGTTTGTGCCAGCAGCTCCCCGCAGGGAGGAGGAGTGGGAAAAGGGACCATTTTCTCCCCGAAAAAGCGGTAAGGGAGGAAAAAAAAAAAAAAAAAAAAAAAGAGCACTAACCATGCTGCTACTTCACCCTGGAAGCAGCGG